CACAGAAGGATGTCATAGGGTTGGTATTTTTTTGGCTAGAAGGGATTATATCTTCATATCCTTTTTTGGTGGTTTTCTTCCCTTTTCCTTTTGTGCTGTATTTCTTTTAATGTATTGAGACAAGGATAAATTATATGTTTTCCTTGTGGTGGAATAATACAGTATCTGCCAGCATTATTTAGCCCATGAAATGTCTATGCAAAAAACCCACAACATATATACCACTCCCTGCTCCAAACGTCTTCTGCCAATAGGCAAATAAGATCATGAGATAAGAAAATGGACTAGAAAATGAAATCAGATCCAGAATCTGAATATGTGGCTTTGACTTTGTCATGATTACACAAGCTGAAAGGCTAATGAAATGGCAGCCTTTACCAGTCCAGTAGCAGAGGCTCTAAACCCTCCCAGATGCTGCCCATTTTGGTTGCCTTTTCCTGAATAGCTGCTAATCTGGAACGTGTTAAAGCCTTTTGTTTCAGACAAGATCTGTAGCTGCCCGGTCTAGTATGGCATTCAAAGCTGGGATCTGGAGAAGGCTGAGTATTTTACAGCACCATGGAGTAGCAGTCAACAAAGAAAAAAGCAAGAAGTAAAACAAGAACACTCTGCAAGCACATCCAGTTCTGGCAGGCAGCAAGGACAGACTTCCTCACAAATTCTGGGGGTCCTTTGCCAGAAAAGTCTCACTGATGGCTACTGAAACACCTCTAAGGAGGGACAACTTCCCAAATGCCTAGCTTCTTCCCTTGTTTGGGAAGACAGACTGCTGATAGAATCTTGGTCAAAGCCATCAGAACCGAGCAGCAGGAACCACTGCAGATCCAGTATGAATTACTACTGCTGTCTCCATTCCCCCATTTTTATTGGTCTTCCTCTGGAAGCAAGGGAGGTCCCATGGGACCAGAAAAGGAAGGTAACCCAAGACACCATACTCTTTATGCTCTCCAAGTGGGTGCAGAGCCTATTAATGGAATGCTTTGCCTGACAAGGTTAGGTAGTCACCATCAGGGGCACATCAGAGCCAGTGAGGAGCCCTCTGGACCACGGTGGGAGGGAGCATTTCATCCAGTGCTAACATGAAGTAGGGAAGTCCTGGGGTGGCTGGTAAATGCAGACTAGCCCAAGCAATTTCCTTGCAAGGGTGGAGTAGTGGTTTATGTGCCACCTGGTTTTTCCTCTGGGATAAATCATGTCTCTAAGGAAGGGATCTATTCTCCACAAGTACATACAGGGCTGCTTCCTCTCTCCTGAATTGTACTGTAGCTCTTTTAAGCCTCCTCAGGCATGACATCCCCATTTTACAGGATGAGCAGCTTTTTAACCACGCTGCAGCCCGGCTAGGAAGGGAAATGGAAGTCTGTCTTGGATTCAGAGAGGAAGTTCTAGGTTACTTGAGACAGCACTGCCTCATGCAAATATTTCATTCACCAATGTGCCAGGCTTGGACAGGGCCAAGGAGGTCTGGCACATGTTAGGAAGGGCTCCGAGGACAGCAGCACTTGGAAAGAGAGACGTGGGAAAGACACAGGGCTCCAGCCCTGCTGCTAATGCAGGATAACAATATTTATTTTTATCCTTTTTTCTTTAAAGAAAATATTATTCCTAGGAAATTAATGTGGATAAGAGGCAAAGTATCAGGTTTAGCATTGTAGAGGACATCTTAAGTCATCCCTTCATCTCTCTGTGTGTATATATATGTATATCTATATAGGTAGTCTTTAATTCCACGACCACCCACCTCTTCTCCCATAAGACCTACGTTTCCTCCTGTATACACAGCGGGTGCACAAAGTGGGAATAATAAAGCTATGCAAAGACTGTCTGTTGGCAACTGCTGATTCTGCAAGCCTAAATGTATCCTGTGAATATCACTTTATTCCTCCATAACCTCATACTTAGAGTAACACGTATTTTTAATGAGTGCCATGAGGCCCAAGAACAAACCAGCTTAAATGTACCCCAGCACTCTGGTGCTCCCATTAGCCTATGGGTCTCTGCTGAGCATACCTGAAGGGTTCACAGCCTAATGCTTTGTAATGGTCAAGGATGTGGTTTGCACAGGGAAGCTGCCCAGCTCCTGGTGGGCTTGGTGACACTGTGGAGCACAGTCTGGAGGCAGGACAGCACTGGGTACCACTAGGCAGAGAAACACTAAATGTCCGTGAGGAGATGTCTAGCCGGAGAATCCAGTCTTTCCTCTTCAAGAAAGGGGGACATATGGAATACAGCCCCTACAATCACAGCAGATGCCAGCTGTCAGCAGCTATGGCCCTAGACTGATGATCTGTAAGCTCTAAGACAGCCTCTAAAATCGAACCACACCTTTCATTGCCAAGGAGAGGTGCTGCATATCTAGGACTTGAGAACTTCTGGAGATGTCTTCATGATCTTCCCACCACTGTGTCAGTGGCTCAGCCCCAAGCTGCCAGCTCTGCTGCTCTGTTGGAGCCAGGCAGTGAGTGGCAGCTGTGAAAGGGGCAACAAGGAGGTAGGCAAATTGCTGTTAGCTCCTTTCCAAATCTACCAGAGAACAGATCCACCTCTTGGTCTTACTCTCTGATTGCTGAGCTTGAGTCTCCTTTCAAGGTATGTCTGGGTGACAGATTGGTCTAAGGACACCAGTTGTTTCATGCAAAGAGTGTCTGTCAGAGATTAGAAAGAGACCAAGCCCACAATCAAAGGGATGATGGACAAATGCATATTCACATTTAAACTTCTATTTCAAGCACCAACACTGCACTTCAGAATGCAGTACGTGAAGCAAGCCATATGATAAATATTCTACAGTAGACAGCCTGAAGACTAATGGGAGCATTAAAAATACTCTAATGTCTCATCTGATTTATGTTCAAAAGAGACATGTGCAGCCTCTGACTACTGAAGCTCCAGCTGTAGAGATTCTGTCAGTAAGCTGTCTCCTAAGAGCAGGAAAGAGCTCCTGCTTCTGCCTCTTTATGTTGTTCTTGTTACTGTGCTGTTGATTCTCTCCTCTTTTGACCTGAAAACCTGGGAAGTGCTAGGTCTGTATATATGTTCCTAAGCAATTTCAACCTAAGATCAACTTCTCAGAGATGGAGTCTGCTTATGAGATGAGACCAGGCTCTTTTGGCAGTTACACTGGAGTCGCACTGGTAAAAAAGAATAACGAATTTCACCCTCACACAGTTACAGGTTCTCCTTTTGGGCTATGCAGCTTTCTCCAGTGTAACTTAAACCATTTCGCTGCTCAAGTATATTTATGAAGGCTTCTACTCCTTACACATAGCTGTTATTATTTTTATACACCAACGCAGAACAGGTCTGCAATCAAATATGACATAAATTCCTCAACGCATTTAAGCTATGATATCCATCCTCAGGGTCCTGACCGAAACTTTCAGGTGCTTGTCACACAATATATCTCCCAAATGGAGCATTTAAACATGCACTGCCAACTTGCAAGGTGAAATAGACAATCCAACAGCACAGCACTATGGAATAGAAGAAAAAACTTATTTTGTTCATGGAAGTATGTGTGATTGTATACCAGATGGCAATCCTACAAAGGCCAGAAGAGAGGTGTGTTCCTTACAAAATTATGTCTTAGTTTTATGTGGGGATTCCAGTTTCCATGGATTGTTTCATCCATGACTTCCTGGAGTCAGAAAGTCAGTGCCAGGGTCCTAACACTGATGGCATTTACTCCTGACAAAGAAAGGAGAGGGAAATGATTCATAGTGTTTCCACCGGTGGGAGGGGGAAGGACATTTTTAATAAGTAGAAACTCGTGACAGAGTCAGAACTGCTGGCTGAACTTGGCTGCCAAAGAGC